TTTTACTTTTTTCTTTTAATATTTTTTTGATTTGTTGGTTTTCTTAAACAACATCCTCAATTTTTTTATCATATTAGAAATATCATCACCAAAATAAACGTAAGTTACGTATACAATAACATTGCAAATCAGAGTGCGTAGGTAGGCGTGAGGGTCACGTCATAAAGTGAAATTTCACAACACCCCCATAATATTTCGTAATGAAATATGTTGTCTCCTACATCCAGGGTGTACGCTCACCCCTCTAATTTACATTTCACATATGATTTATGAAATTGATTACTGTTCTTAATATCCACCCTTAAAAAAATAGCAATGTAACCACGACAAACACCCTAACAGACTATTTGCCATTTCTCTTGTATAACTTTTCCGCCTACTTACTTCCTCCCCATGGGTATAAATTTGGGAGGAGTAATCTTTAACGGTACCTTTCACCAAAAAAAAAGAAGAAGAAAGATAGCAGTACTAGTGAGAGAAGAAGATGGCATACGAAATTTTCAACTTTCTGTAAGTATATCATATCTTAATCTAATGTTGTTAATTGATAACAATTCTCAATTTTAACTTTTAAAAAGATCCTTGTGGACCAACTTCAGATATTCGATATATAATGACCAATATTTATATATCTAGTAAATGGGTGATAGGATTTTTTTTGTGAACCTGATATCAATTTGAAGGGTTTATCAAATGAAAATTATCCACCATAGGAATTTTCAGAATTTTGATTTATACTCGAAGCATCTCACCTTTGATTTAACATTGAAATTTATGGGAAGGGTGTATTTAATTCTGATATCTTTAGATGAAATTATATTTTCAAATAAATCTCTTGGTAGAAAGTTACATATACTTCCTCTCTATCAGGATATTAATCAAAATTAATCATTTACGATGTAAATTTTCAGAAAATTAGATTTTTCTCAATTTTATCAAGGGTAGATAACTCTTCACGAAAGTCCCGAGTGCAAGAGGGCCAGCTTCTAATCATGTACAATTCCTGTAAATTTGATGTACTTCACTATTGTCGTTACTGAACTATGGACATTTATGATCATTTAAATCACTAAGATGTGTCCATTTACCTCTCGTTACATTTTTAGAGGATTTTTGACAACTTGAAAATTTAGTCATACTGTTTTATTTTATTTCAGAGATCTTACAAACTCCGCCAACTCTTTCGAAGAGTTTGAGGCTCTACGGGTACAGATGGGAGAAGATCTTGAAAATGAAGATTTCCCTCCTTCTCCTCAAAGAACGGTCACAATCAAACCTGTCGATGCAAACACTTTTGAAAGGTAGGAACTTTTACAATTAGAGTTATCGTTCTTACCACACTTAGATTTAGTCTTGCGAGGCGATATATTATATATATAAATTATCGATTATTCCTAAATGATTAAGCTACAAATGATATTTTAAGATCAACAAAAGTGTATGTTTGTTTTCTCAAATGTTTTTCAGTGCATCAAATGAAAGCAAGACATTCATTACATTAGAACCATCAACCCCCGTCGTCCCGCCGTCCTCAACACCCAAGTACTCCCCTCCAGCTGATGAAAACTGGCCACCAGTTGTTGTTGACGAAGAAACGGGCGAGGGATCGTTTGAAAATGTGGAGGATTCTATCCTCACCTCCTTTAGATAAGGTCTTTTCTTTGTATTATTTAGTTACAACCTTTGAGTGTAGAGTGATAACGCTAGTTTCAGTAAAGAGTGTTTTTTTCTATGAAACATCTGTTTTTATATACCCACTGTTAAAGACTCGTATTTATATTTCATTGGATTAATGTATGACCAAACCTAATTAAAAATGTATAATTTAATTTTTTTTCATAAAGAAGAAAGCATCCTAAAAAATATAACGCGCTGGAGAAAAAGATGCGCCAGCCATTGAAGGAAAATGTGAACGAACAATTTAATATATTGAGGAATTTACATAAGAGAATGGCTGAGGATATGCAGCAAAGCTCCATCATAATTAACCATTTAGAGGAGAAATTTGAATGCTCAGCTGGACCTGCCAGAAAACATGTGAAGTTTTCTTCTTTATAATTGTTCATAGAGAAGTTGCGGTGATGAATTTGTAAGAAATGAACTTCTTTAAGGCAAAGAACTGTAATGATGAATTTCACAAGGATAAATTTTATAACAATGTTACGTAGTTTATACTTTCTAAAAGATTTTTTCATCACTTTTGTTATATAGATTTAAAAACAACTTTTATATTGTGTGAAAATAAACATACCTATAGATGATAAAGTGTTTGGTGATCTTTTTCCCTTTACATCTGAAATTTGACTGTGAAAAGCTTGTGAAAACTTGGACTTTTTATACAGGTGTAATCATAAAGTTGTCTGGGTACAAATATCTTTAGAAGTTGCATTGTAATTTCCCTACAAGTTGCTATGTCATTCCCCAAAATGTTTTAAAGTTGCATTGTCATTTCTCTAAAAGTTACAATGTCATTTTCCCTGAGTGTTGCTATGTCATTTCGTAAAGATCTGCAAGTTGCTATGTCATTCCCCAAAATGTTTTAAAGTTGCATTGTCATTTCTCTAAAAGTTACAATGTCATTTTCCCTGAGTGTTGCTATGTCATTTCATAAAGATCTTAAAGTTGCTATGTCATTCCCCAAAATGTTTTAAAGTTGCATTGTCATTTCTCTAAAAGTTACAATGTCATTTTCCCTGAGTGTTGCTATGTCATTTCGTAAAGATCTGCAAGTTGCTATGTCATTCCCCAAAATGTTTTAAAGTTGCATTGTCATTTCTCTAAAAGTTACAATGTCATTTTCCCTGAGTGTTGCTATGTCATTTCATAAAGATCTGCAAGTTGCTATGTCATTCCCCAAAATGTTTTAAAGTTGCATTGTCATTTCTCTAAAAGTTACAATGTCATTTTCCCTGAGTGTTGCTATGTCATTTCGTAAAGATCTGCAATATCATTTCACCAATTGATAACATCAGTGACTGTAGAGTACACCTTGACTGTAAAGTCACCCCTGACTGTAGAGTACACCCTGACTGTAAAGTCACCCCTGAATCGTGACCTTAATTATGACCTGTGTGGGTGGGACCTGGGAATCCCTATGACGTCATCTTGACTGTAAAGTGACTGTACAGTATATACCCTACTACTATCAATATAATTTTCAAATCCGAAGTTTTGTTTGAAGATTCTGTAAATCTGTCCTTTTGAAGAATTAATTACTAGACCACTTTTGAATAAATTGATCTTGTAATATTTGTTTTACATTAGCAGCTATCCATTTATTATTAGTTCCCTACCGGTAAAACCGGAGCGGAGTATAGATTTCCTCTGAGTCTGTCCGTCCGTCTCTGTCCCTCTGTCTGTCTGTCAGTCTGTCCCACTTGGTTTTCCGCACTTTTTTCTAAACGCTTGCAGATATTGAGCTGATTTTTGGTATGTGACTGTATCTTGATAAGTTACAAGTCAAGTTTGAATTTCGTTCCGCTTCAATGATTTTTGACGAATTTACGACCTTTTCAATTTTTCAGGGTTTTCCGTAATTTTTTTTCTAAACGCTTGCAGATATTGAGCTGATTTTTGGTATGTGACTTAACCTTGATGGGTTATAGGTCAAGTTTGCATTTCGTTCCGCTTCATTGATTTTTGACGGAATTATGGCATTTTCAATTTTTAACGGGAACCAGATTACACTTGCCGGTAGGGGACTAGTATTGTTAATGCAATAATCTCAGAATGCTTGTTCATATTGACACCCTGTTCGTACCATACAATTGACAGACCACACATTATACCATATTTTCTGTATGCAATCTAACCATGGGTTTGTTAAATTTCAACACAGTACAGTTTAAACATATGTTTGTATAAATCATTTACAATTTTATTTTGCGGGCCTGAAAACACTGGCACATCCTTGGTTTGTGTATTTTTATTGATATTAATTTGAACATGAAATTAAAATATAGTATACAATTAATTCAGACACAATTTTAACTATAACTATTTAGCATATGTCTCCATATGAGTGAAAAATTCTCGAAAGGGACGTTAAACAATAATAAAACAAACAAACAAATTTTTCCATTATTCTATCATTCCGTTGTCAAATTCGCAATGTCATGGTCATGACATGAAAAGAAAGAAGTTGGCGGATCTTACATATCTGTTTGTGTCTACTTTTACAAACCAACAGAAATAATTACGGTAAGTGCATTTTTTTCATTTTATAACGAAGATATATATTTTTGAAAGAGTCTTAATCTTTTCATTTGCCCCACTTTAGTTCGGCAATTTGATATGTTTTAATTATTGAATATTAATAATATTGATAATAAACATATTAATGGTCAAGTATAATATTTTTCTGAAAATTCATAATTATACATGATTATCGGCCTTTGGAACAGTATGGATAACATTGTATAGTCTGTTTAATTTTGTGCCACCAATTACATCACTAATCGTCATTTACATTTACCTGTGTGACAAGTGGATCGCTTCTCTCCCTTGACGCGTGACGTCATAAGAAACAACGAGAAATAGAAAGTACAAACTTTATGGATGCGTTCCATTCATTCGTTCCGATTCGATTCCGGACGTTCTGTTCTCCGTGATGAATGGAATGAACCGGAACAGAAGAGAAATTTTCAACATGGCTGCCAATGGGCGGAAAACCTGTCTGCTTTTTGTTTTATTTCAAGATTCCAACACTGACTTTGATTCTGAGGACGAAAATATCTTATTACCTGCACTAGCAGGCGCTATGTAAGTAAAGGCTATTTATGAATCAATTAAAAACTAAAAGGTTTTTGATCACGTGTGTTTTATAGTGGCTTAGGTATAAGTATTGAAACAAAAATGAAAAAAAAAAAACTAAATGAGGTTGGCATATGAAATAAATATTCATTTGGATGTTTTTTATTTACAGAAAGAAAGAAAAACCAAAAATATATGGATATGTGGAGGATGTGGTTCCCCTTTATTCTGATGCTTCATTTAGAAAAATGTTTCGACTGTCAAGACAGACATTTCAAATCCTCTCTTCATATCTAGAGGAAGTTCCAGAGATGAAGAAAGACGGTAATGGTGGTAAAGAACGAATGTCTCCACAAAAAGATATTTTAACCACATTATGGTACCTAGGGACTCTCGACAGCATTGACAGGATAGCAGACCGTTTTGGCATTTCGCCATCCTCGGTAATCAGGGCTAGAGACCGAGTTATGAATTCAATTCTAACTCATCTCAAGTCAAAATTTATAAAATGGCCCAATCCCAGTGAATTAAACCAAATCGCAAACAATTTCCAGCAAAAGAACGGATTTCCAGGGATTGCTGGTGCATTAGATGGGACTCATATTAGAATAGCAAAACCAACAAACCATGGAGATTCATACATCAATAGGAAGGGATTTCCTTCCTTGCAGTTACAAGCGGTATGCAAGGAAGACATGATGTTTACTCATGTATTTACCGGATTTCCAGGAAGCTGTCACGACGCAAGAGTTCTTAGGAATTCCGATTTATGGGAAAATGGATTACAAATGATTCCATATATATACCATATCATAGCTGACGCAGCCTATCCACTAAGAATATGGCTACTCACTCCCTACCGAGACAATGGTCACCTGACACACGAGCAACGCCGCTATAACAACTAACTACCTGTCCAGCAACAGAATGGTAATTGAGAGAGCATTTGCTCTTCTGAAGGGTAGATTCCGCCGATTGCGTTTCCTGGAAACCCAGAAAATTGAGTATGCTGTCAAAATTATTATGACCTCTTGTGTTTTACATAATGTCTGCATTTTCAACCATGATGAAGTCGACGATTTCATTCAGCAAGATGTTATTGCAGCAAATTATAATGTTCCAGGAATCCAGGATTGTGAAGCCCAGGGTGTACAGAAACGTAATCAAATAGCCAGGAATCTTTTGTGATAGGCTAACTTCAGAATGAATGCATCATGTTTTTAAACATCATATTCAATAAAGAATACAGTAACTGTTCAATACAATTTAATACAGAAAAATATAACAATGTAACAAAACTCAACAAAAGATGTCAAATCGAACTTATATGTTTTTTTATGTAAATAAAACTATGGAACATGTCAAAAAGAGTAAGATATATCTTGACAGGTATTTAAAGTCAGCTGTAAAAAGTCCTTTACAGATGTTTTGATGAAATTTACAGTGTAATCCATGTATTAAGACTACATGCCACAAACATTCTTTTCCTTACAGCTTAAAAGATAATAACAACAAATAATACTTAAGTTCAATATATCATGGTCATGGAAGAAAAAAAAGATTTTTTCTCCAATAGACATTGCCATAAATGAACGTAATACAAGGTCAAAAAATTAATTATTCATTGCAGCTGCCTACAAATCCACTTATAGATTCAATGAATCTAACCCCCCACCCCCGACCCCCATTTCACCTATTCATCAAACTTATTTTTTAACACTTAAGTTTAAGAGAATTTAGTTGTCTAAGCAATAAATATTACAAAAATTTTACTTAGTTCTCAATTATGTCCATCAATGAACTTGGTTAGGGACTCAAATAAAGCAGGTTGGTGCATTCAAGCATCCTTTAAAAGTCACAAGATTTGTAATGTATAAAAGCCAAACTATTTCTTTAAAAAAAAACAAACTATCTAGCCATCTTAGAATTGTGGGTAAACAACTGCAAACAAAGTTTTTTTTTTAGCTGTAGCCAAGTCTAAATTACATGTAATACATTATCCATCCATGTTTTTTTTTTCAGTTCCAAGCAAGTAATCATGAACTAATGTAGAAAAAAATGTTTAATACTTGGACATAATAAAATAGAAAAATGATAATGAACATAACCTATTTGGGAGTTTGTAGTAAATAATAAAAACTATTTGTTAAATTGTACCAAAACAAAATAAAAAATGCAAACAATTCTGACTAGCAATTATCCAATAACAGTTTGTGTAATGTATAGTACATAGTTGAATTTTCAGGAGAATAACTTTTCCTCTGCAAGAAAAAAAAAACAACAGATGAAACAAAAGCAACTGCATTGCTTTCAGTGATAAAACGAAATATTGAAAATCCTACCACAAATACTTTGAAAAGTTTTATGGCACAACTCAGAACAAGTTTTAAAAAATGAAAGAAACCATTCACTATTTTGTGCCCTTCTGCTTAAGAGTCTATGTAAAAAACACTTTAACTTTTTTCGCAATTCTTGATCTGCATATTGGACAGACTTCTAGAGCTTTGCTGCATGGAATACAGCACACAAGGTGGCCACAGTCAACAAACACTACTTCTTTTGGATGACTTTCTTCCATGCAGATTTCACATTCACCTGAAAAGAGATTATATCAACAAAAATTAAACAGGAGTTCCTATGAGCAAAGTCAAGATCATGTAATATGTAATCTTTAACATGGAGTAAGAACTTGTAAATGGATTAAATGTAACAATAGTACATGATTGTACATGTATTGTAAAAATAATGACCAAACGCATGTAATGGAATGTTTCCTACTCTTTGATTTCAAGGAACTAAATGTGTACATGTATTTAATATAATAATGTTAAAATTAAAATTAGATAATTCAATTTTCTAAGGATTTACACAGAAAGTACAAGTAAATACATGTAATAATAATTTTCAGCCATATGCATATTTTAATTTTATCATGTAAGGATATTTGTGCTGAGCCAAGGTATAAGGAACACAACACTCACTAGTGATGTGCTCTCATTGTCTCAATGAGTTTTTTTCATCAAATCCATCTTTTCATGATGCATTTTTTTCTTTACGCTCACTTTCCTCCTTTCTTCTTTTTTCCTGATTTTCAATAAAGTTTTTCATTACATCAATAACCTCTGTTGAAGTAGATGTACGCTTTCTTTTCTTTGGATTAGTACCTGAACCTGATGGTGTGGGCGTAGACGACCTTGAACTCTCATCGTCACCATCCTCTGAATCGTTGGGAACTTCTGCAGAAATTTTGGAGTCAGTGCTACAGGCAGTTATTTCTGGAGTAATGGCAGGATCTTTGGAATATATTTCATCCAATTCAGACTCATATTCAAAACGCTTTCTTCCAGTTCCACTTTTCTTCTTATTGTCTTTGACTGCTTTGTATCCTCTCTGCAAAGTCTTCCATCTCCCTGAGACTTGCTCATGATTATAGGAGTATCCTTCATCTTTCATCCCTGTGGCAATTTCCTCCCACATGGTTTTCTTCTTGATCAAAACTTTCTTAATTTTCTCTTGATATGTTTTGTATTTGGTTATTAGAAGTAAGGGACTAGAGCGTGTCCAAGACATACCTATATCCGCAGTACTGCATGAGGCAACTTTACTCTCCTTTTCATCTCCTAGAAAACATTAAAATTAATAAATATATACTTTCAATGCTTAACATTTAAAAAAAAATACATGTTAGACACAACCTGTTACATGTATTTATTTATGGTGTTTATTCCAGAATATGAAGATCGTATACTATATAGAATTACTTCTTTTGAGTAACAGTTTCAATATTTTTCTCTTGACGTGAAATATATCTACTCCTATGTAATTAGTACAAAATTAGTTACTACTTATTATGGGAGGAGGAAATATTAATCTCTTGAAAGTGCAACCTCCCAGGTATACTAATCTGTAAAATTTTAACTTTAACATTAATTACCTGATGATGGTGTCTCTGCTGGTGGTTTCTGACATATGTGCTCAGACATCAACTCCATGTCGTTGAAGTATATGCTGCACTTGTGGCACTGGGTTACCGTGCGTTTTTTCATTTGACTTTCGGCATTAATTTCATGTGCTGTTTGTTTTGTCACAAGGATGGAATTATTTCCTCCGCCTAAATGAGAAAAAATATCTTTTATACTAATAGTATACATTAATATCAAAGTACATACTGCTGCATTGCAAATTATAAAACTCAATTGCAAAAGATATAAATGGCAGAATTAAAAAGGGGGAGGGGTGCTAAAAGGTAAACCTTCATGTAGTTAATACCATTTGGATATGCTTTCAAAAAGACGAGGAGATTCGAAAAAAGATCGCCACTGTGATCGACCCCTTTCCCTACTATTACAATTTTTACTTGTCCTTTTTAATACACTTTTTTCCTCGTAAATATGTCATTTTTTAGGTTTGTACCCCCCCCCCCCCACTTTCCCTTTAAAAATCTATGATTTTCTTGACCCATCTTGGGCCTTTATGATGGCTAATAAGGTGCGCACTAAATATCCCTATAAATTTAAGTTTTTAAATAAGCATTTGCAGTAAAACGTATACACAGTAACAAAACTCACTTGATTCCGTTGTGCATCTATGCATTTTAACATCATCTAAGCTGGAAAAGTACAAATTGCAGTCTTCACATTGATAAAGCACGTTTTTCTCCGCCATTTTTGTTACGTAATAATTCCCGCTGCACCACCTCTTTAGAAAGGACAGAGAGAATCCGTCCGGAATCGGATTCCAAATCGTTCCATTGCAATTCTACGCGTTCTGGACTTTCGGAAGCGTGAAAGGAACGCACCCTATATTGTCGTGTTTGGAACATTATTGTTGGCGAGATGTTGCCATGTGCGCTTTTAACTGTACCAATAAATTGGAACAAGACATGAGTATATGTTTATTTTCTAAGGACCCGAAATTGAGGAAAATATGGACATTAAATTTTCAAAAAGAGATGGTGTTGAACCCAATCAACATGCGACGCTAACTGAGCGACAATTTACATGGATCAGTTTACAGTTTTATTAAACATAAAATGACTCACGAATTTCTTGGTTTTATTTCAAATTTCTATTGTATATCTGTTTAGGTTTTTAGGATTTTCGTTACCGTTTAGTAGTAGACAAGATCATAGGCACTTGACGAATGGTTTGTGTATATTGCCCCCCCCCCCCCCTTGAGAATTTAACTTAGCAAATATACATGAATTCCTTGTCTGTCATTAATTCAGGAATATTCTTGCATTAAAGATAAAACATTTTTATTATTTGGGGAGCGATATGCTTCATACTTTTATTTTACATCTTAACACAAACTTTAATTTTAACCTATAATTGTCTAGAATTTCAACTTTTCTTGCTGTAAATTAACCTCCGTAACGATACTTTTACCGAAATTTTAATTTGATATCAGATTCATGCCAGACTTCTCAAGAATCATACTTCAGCATTCTATACTGAACAAAATTGGTCAAATTCAGCTTTATTTAAAAAATAATAATAAGACTTGTTGAAGCATTAACTTCCGTAACATCACCTAAAAATCAATGGTAAAATGAAATTGATGTAATAAGTTAACTATACCAGATTTGTGGACAATTCTTTTTTTTCAAATTCACTGATATGTCCTTTAGAGAATTATGATGTTCAATTTTATATTTGAAACAATAATTTATATGTTTTATACCCTGAATTGGTCCTTTTATCGAGGAATGACTGATATACCGTTAAGGAACAATCTCTACAACTTAATTGACAAAAAATGGAAAATGATATCAAATATCGAAGTATTGGTATAATAGACAAGAAATTTATGTATATTTCCTAAGTTATCATGTCTAAAAAAACAGTGGGGATGGGGGTATATAAACTAAGAATTCGTCAGAGCTGCGCACAAGAATTCATCTGTCCTT